ACATAGATTTTACAGTGATGGATAGAACAAGCAAAGAAAATCTATCTTGGCTAACAAAATCTTGGCTAACAAAATGTGCCTAAGAAATGATCTAATGTTCAGACGTAGAGCCCTCCACGCAACCCCTACAGATTATACATTCTTTTTAAACACAAAGGAAATTTAATAAAATTGACCATATTCTCGGCCACAAAGCTGATCAGAACAAAATTCAATGGATTGAAACCATATAGAATATACGTTCTCAAACCACAATTCTGTTACCTTAGAAATAAGTAATAAAAAGATAACTAGAATAAACACATGGTTTTGAAAACAAACAAACAAAAAACACTTCTAAATAACCTATAGATCTACAGAGAAATCACAACAGAAATTAGAGAATATTGTGAACTGAATATTAATGAAAGTTGAAAACTGATGTGATGCAGCCAAAGATTTGGTAGAGTGAAGTTTATAGCCTAAATTAAAAAGAGATAATGATCAAATATCTATGAGGTAAGTGCTCAACTCTACAAATTAGAAGGAGAAGCAAAACAAACCTGAATAAAGTAAGTTAAAGAAAGGTAGTAGCAGAAAACAATGAAATATAAAATCAGTGTACAATAGAGTGATTAACAAAGCACAGGTTTGGTTTTTGAAAATGTAATAAAATTGATCAAGAAAAGAGAGAAGGCACAAATTAAAAAAAAAATAGGGGCAGCACCATAGGTCATACAGGCATTAAATAGATAATAAAACAATGTTCTGAACGGCTCTTTCCCAAACAATTTTGAAAATTTAGAGAAGATGGACAAATTTCTAGCAAGATCAACATACAGAATGTGAGACAAGAAGATACTGAATTCTTAATGGTAACATAACTATTAAATAAATTCTGTAATTTAAAATCTTCCTTCAAACCAAACTCCGGATCAAGTTGGCTTTATGGGTACATTCTACAAAACGTTTAATAAAGAAACACCACCAATTTTAAACAAACTTTTCCAGAGAAGAGAAAAAGAGGAACAGTTCTTAACTCATTTCATTAGGCTAGAAAAACCTTGACACCCAAAGCCAACAAGGACAGTATTAGAAGGGAAAATTTCAGGTTAGTCTTATTCATGAATATACATGACAAATTCTAAACAAATTATTAGCGAACTGATTTCAAGAGTATACATAAAGAAAAATACATTGTGATTAAATTGGACTTATTCTAGGAATGCAAAGTTATTTCATTTTACTGGATACTCTGTTTATTTCACATTAACAGACTAAAGGAGAAAAATCATACATTCACCTCAATAGAAAAAGCGTTCGGGGAAATTGAACCATGAATTAATTATTTTTTTAAAAAATTGAGAAAACTAGAAATGGAAGGAAACTTCTTAATCTGATACAGAATATCTATTTTAAAAGACCTACAGAGACATCACAATAGTGAAATGTTGAACACTTTTCCTTTGTGTTGAGGAAGAAGACAAGGATTCTTTCTATCACCACTTCTATTCTTCATTGGACTAGAGGTCCTAGGTAATTCAATAAGACAAGAAAAAGAAAAGTTAAAAGATTGGAAATGGTGAAATAAAATTGTAAGTATTTTTGGAGATATGATTGTATACTTAGTCCCAAAAAACTACAAATTATTCAAAGTAATAAAGGAGCTAAGTAAGTTTGTTGGATCCAAAGTCAATATACAATAATCAACCGAACATATCTACGTGCCAACAATGAACAAAATGAAAATAAATTTAATGTAACATTTATAATAACATAAGCTATCAAATATCTAACAAAACTTCGATAGATATCTGGACAGAAATTTTTAAAACATTATTGAGAGAAAGAAGATTCAGTGAATAGAAATCTATATCATGTTCATGGAGTGAAAAAGTCATTATAGTAAAGTCTGCAGTTCTTGCCAAACTTCTCCACAGACTCAATTAAATCTTGGTCAAAATCCCAACAGATTTAGTTTTTGCAGTTTTTTAAGTTGTAACAGTTGTATGGAAATGTAAAGATTCAGTTATAGTCAAGACACTTTAATGAAGAACTGAATAGGAGGACTTGTGCTTCCAGATTTCAAGATTTACCAAAAGGTCAGCAGTTCGAATCCACCAGCCACTCCTTGGAAATCCTATGGGGCAGTTCTGCTCTGTCCAGTAGGGTCGCTATGAGTCAGAATCTACCCAAGGCAATGGGTTTGGTTTTTTGGGTGTTTTTTTGGTATAGTAATGAAGACAGTCTAGCATTAGCATAAGAATAGACAATGAGACAGAGTTGAGGGCCCAGAGATAGACCCAGACATATATATGGTAGTAGATTTTGACAAAGTTGACACGACAGAGAAGTAGAGGAAGTGCCATCCTTATAATGAATGATACTGGACGGTTGGATGTAATACAGAATAAAATCAAACTTGATCCATTTCTCACAATGTTTATAAAGATAATTTCAAGTGTATTGCAAAGCTAAATATGAAAGGCTAAACAATAAAGTTTCTAGAAAAATATCTTCATAATTTGGGGGGAAGGAAAGATTTTTTTAATGAAGACATACAATACACCAATCCTGAAGAAATACATTGATAAACTACATTAAAAATAAGAACTTCTGTTTAGTAAAAGAAAACCCATTGCCTTCGAGTCAGTTCCGACTCATAGCAACCCTATAGGACAGAGTAGAACTGCCCTACAGGGTTTCCAAGGAGCGCCTGGTGGGTTCAAACTGCCGACCTTCTGGTTAGCAGCTGAACTCTTAGCCACTACACCACCAGGGTTTAGTAACAGGCAATGTAATGAAAAGACAAGCCACAGAGAGGGAGAAGTCAGCTGCAGGAAGCGAACAAAGGTCATATTCACATATCTAGAATCTATGAAGAACTCCTACAAATCAATCAGGAGAAGATAACATAATAGAAGGACAAATAACTCGGGAAGAGAGTTTATGAAAGAGGATATCCAAATGGACTATAAAAAGGTGCTCAACCAAGTGCAATCCAGGGAAATGCAAATTATTGACAATGTCATACGATTACACACACACCAGAAAGGCTAAAACAAAATGGACTGACAATGGCAAGTACTGTGGAATACATAAAGTAACAGAAACGGCCATGGACTGCGGGTGGGAGTGTAAATCAGTATAATCACTTTAGAAAACTGTTTGGCATCATATTTTGCAGTAGAAGATTTGTATAATCCAAGCTCTACCAATTTTATTAGTAGATAGGTATATATACCCACCATGTATAACCAAACCTGTTGCCATTGAGTCAAGTCTGATTCATAGCAACCCATCAGAAACGTGTGCACTTGTGTTCCAGCAAACATGTATGAGAGAGCTCACAGGAGCATTAGACATACTAGGAATCATTGGAAACTGCATATGTATATAGAGCAACAGTCCCATAGAACCCATTGCCACTGAGTCGAGTCTGACTCATGGCCACCCTATAGGACAGAGTAGAACAGCCCCATAGGATTTCCAAGGCTGTAATCTTTACCAAAGCCGACTGCCACATCTTTCTTCTGTGGAGTTGCTAGTGAGTGCCAATCACTTACCTTTTGGTCAGCAGCCGAGCTCTTAACCACTATGTCGCCAGGGCTCCTTACAGGGACAGTAAACAAGATAAATGAATTCTAATATATTCTGTCATCTGAATAAAGTATAACTACATGCAACAGCATGGTTGAGTCTTAACAAGCAAAATGTTGAGTAATAGAAGCTGGAGTTTCGGGGCGTATATGTAGGTAATAAAGTAACAGAGACAGGGTATGTAGGAGGATAATGAGGTTCTGGCACTAGGGCATGTAGGAGGATAATAAGGTTCTGGCACTATCTATTTTTTTACCAGGTGAAAGTTGTATGGATATTTGATGCATAATAATTAATCAACTTTACGTTTATATTCTATGCTTTTCACTATATGTGCGTTGTATTTCACAATAAGTTAAAAATACCACCTAGAATAAAGGACACTCATCTAAAGTTGAAGTATGGTTGGTTTTTTACATGTAGTAAATGGAGGAAATTATTAGACTCATGAGGCAAAATATAAATTAATCAAATATAATGTGTGAGCATGTGTAGAGGCAGGATAAGAGACAGAGGGGCAAGACCAGGAGATCACAATTGGAAAGTAGGAAGCTCACTGGAACTGGAATTAGAAAACGAGTTCATGTCTCATTTCTTTCTCAAACTACTGTATGACTTTGGGCAAGTCCCTCAATGTACATGAGCTCCAGTCTTCTCATCTGTAAAATGGGGATGATAACACCTCCCCCTTTTTGCCTTGTAGGACTGTTGTGAAGATAGGGAGATAAATGACAAAACGTGTGTGAAACACTCTGAACTGAGAAGTTCTTCATTAAGGTTACTTGGAGTAGGAGTAGTATTCACGTCCTGGATATTGTGGGAAACATTCATCAGAAGCTGGTGCTATTTGGCGTATCTCTTTACAATAGACTCATAGTAGTCAGAATTGACTGGATGGCAATGGATTTGGTTTTTGGTTTTCACAATAGATATCCTGGAAGGCCACTTATGGTCTCTGTCAGAGGGATAGAGATAAAGCAGATATACATTGAACCAAGGGGGTATTTCCGGTAATGAAAAGACATTCAAAGCTCAAAAAATAAGGTATGTATTTGTTGACAAGGTCATTATTTGTAGAATTTTCATTTAATATTTATGGATTTGACTTTTACAGGCTCCACCCTCATTGTGGACTGTAATATCACAGATGTCAGGGAAAACACAAACCTGCGATGCTGGAAGGTCAACAACACTCAGGTGGATCTTTACTATCGTGAATCCAAACGAATTACAGAAGGAATTGAGTGAGTCTTTTGTTTTTCTGGCTTCTCTAAAAGCTGGCAAGGATTTCTCCATCTAAATTAATTTGGCATGTACTGCTTTTTTTACACAGTTCTCACTGCCTTCTCGTCACTTCTTTTGGCTTTGTCTTTCAAAGACCTTCTCATTGCTGGTTTTCAGTGAGTGCATGGCCAAGCATCTCGTTCAAAGAAATGTGAGGTGCAAACTGCTGTCCATCCTGTTTACAGCCTAGTTAGGGAGATGAGGTAAAACATGAAGCATGGTGTTCAAGCAGCAGGATCAATTTCCCTCAGCTATTTAAAGCCAGTCTCATTCCCATTGAGTTATATCATGAGCCATAGGCATTCAAGGGTTAAAGGGCAAATTAAGCATTAGCACAGAGATAGTGCATAATCATTAACTAATTGAATGGTATGGCGTCTAGGGTGGTTCAATCGGTTAAGCACTTGGCTGCTGATTGAAAGGTTGGAAGTTCGAGTCCACCCAGAGGCATCTTGGAAGAAAGAACTGGTGATCTACTTCTGAAAAACCAGCAATTGGAAACACAGTTCTACTCTGACACACATGGTGTTGCCATGAGTTGGAGTTGACTCGATGCCAACTGGTTTACTGATTAATTCAGTGGTATAAACAGTAAAACTAACGAAATAAGAGCGTAGAAGAACTAGTGTTGGGCCTTGAAGAGTAAGTAAGTTAGGATAAGTGGAAAGGAATAGGGGAGGGCCCTGTAGGGCTGAGGATGTTGTCTATAGTTACCGGAACTGTACTTCCTTGTCACTGTCCAGAAGAAAATACACATTTGAACTACTCCGTCATCACACTTCAGTTAGCCTCTTCAGTGAACTATTCTTATGGTAAAACGATGGTCCAAAGTGTTCTCTAGGAAGTCATTTTATTCTCCAGAATAAACATTATAAAGTATGTTGGGTAAATATGATGCATGTACTGATGACTAGCTCTTTTCTTTTATAGATCATGTGTACCTTTTGCGCAATATAATAGGTACACAGTAAACATAACCTTTCTTGAAGTGAAAATGGAAGATTATGGCCGCCATTTTGTGTGTCATGCTGGAGTATCTGCAGCATACATTGTGTTAAAGCTCCCAGGTAATGTCCTAGTGGGCTCAGGGCGCTCAAAATGATGGCAAGGAAACACACGTGAAAGAGAAGTGACGTTAATGTTTGATGTGAGGCAACAGTCATAGCGACCCTATAGGACAGAGTAGAACTGACCCTATAGGGTTTCCAAGGAGTGGCTGGTAGATTCAAACTGTCGACCTTTTGGTTAGCAGCCAAACACTTAACCACTGCGCCAGCAGGGCCCGCTATGAAAGAGAAGTGACGTTAAATGTTCAACGTGAGGTAACGGGGTAGTATTACATAGAGAAGCTAAATATAGAATCTAGTGAAAAGCTGATGAAGTGTCTTACAATGTTCTTGGAGTAAGGCTGTGATTTTATTGTAGTATGCTTGAAAATGCCAGATTAATATACATTTTATGCATCAAAAGTCTAGAAAAGAGGTATTTTTTTCTTTATTAAAACTAGTTGCTCAACTTTTATAGTCATTTGCTTATGATTTTAGCTTTCAGGTCATTTATTATAAGTAAATTTAGACGCAAGTAAAACATATATATATTTTTTATAATGTAACTTTGTAAAGTTATCTATAAAGACTAAATTTTAATAGAGTAGGAGGGCTTCAAACTCCATGCATGTACACAAATAGTACTCTTAAAACTGTACAGAGCTTTTTTTTTTTTTTTTTAGTACACATATTGTTTTATGACAATGGTTAACAACCCCATGACATGTCAACACTGTCCCTTCTCAACCTTGGGTTCCCTATTACCAGCTTTCCTGTCCCCTCCTGCCTTCTAGTCCTTGTCGCTGGACTGTTGTGCCCCATTAGTCTCATTTTGTTTTATGGGGCTGTTTAATCTTTGGCTGAATGGTGAACCTCTGGAGTGACTTCATTACTGAGCTAAAAGGGTGTCTGGAGGCCATACTCTCGGGGTTCCTCCAGTCTCTGCTAAGCCAGTAAGTCTGGTCTTTCTTTGTGAGTTAGAATTTAGTTCTACATTTTTCTCCAGCTCTGTCCGGGACCCTCTGTTGTGATCCCAGTCAGAGCAGTCAGTAATGGTAGCCGGGCACCATCTAGTTGTACTGGACTCAGTCTTGTGGAGGCTGTGGTAGTTGTGGTCCATTCATCCTTTGGACTAATCTTTTCCTTGTATCTTGTTTTCTTCATTCTCCCTTGCTGCCGAAGGGGTGAGACCATTAGAGTATCTTAGATGGCTGCTCACAGGCTTTTAAGATGCTACTCACCAAGGTAGAACGTAGAACATTTTCTTTATAAAATGTGTTATGCCAATTGAGCTAGATGTTCCCCGAGACCATGGTCCCCACAGCCCTCCACCTAGCGATTCAGTCCCTCAGGAAGTTTGGATGTCTCTATGGAGCTTCCATAACCTTTCCTTGTACAAGTTGTGCTGGCTTCCCCACCGTACAGAGCTTATTGATTATCTGTTGGAGATCATAAATCCAGAGAATAGGTAGTGAAGAGTGAACTCATAATATGAAGAGAACAACTTTAAATTCATAACATACCAGGGCAGAGTATGAAGTACCTTGTAAAATGCTGAGGTGTGGTTTGCCAAGACAGCTTTTCTTTTCTTCTTCATTCTATTAATATCTTTCTTTTTCTTTGGTTAGCTACATGCAAGAGCAGAGGGCTTAAATTTGCCAATGTCCCTTCATGATAAGTTAAACCCATGTTTGCATGCAATCCTAGCTAAAAACCCACCAGAAATGTTTTCCAAGAATTTAGCATAAAACACTAGTCCTATGATAGCTGTATGGAACTAGCAAATATGCCTTTGCCCCTGCCAAGTTCTTGACCTTGTGAGTGTCCTTCACCTCCCTTAGAAGAACAGTGAACAAGGGATAAAAACACAGCAGCCTGTAGCCCTGAGGTATATGCGTTCTGCACCTCATTTCCAGGGCCTGGAGGCCAAGGCCACTGTGTCCTGGTCTTAGTTAACATAGTGCTGCTGTAACCAAAACACCATAAATGATTGGCTTGAAAGAACAGAAATTTATATTCTGACAGTTCTGGAGGCCAGAAGTCCGAATTCAGGGTGTGGCTGTAGGAGAAGGTTCTTCATCTATTCAACTTCTAGTACCCAACAATCCTCGGAGTTCCTTGGCATTCTTCGGTGTCTGTCTTCCCCCTGTGTGTGTCTCTGTGTCTGTTCTACCCTTTTAATAACTCAGAAGTGGTTAGGTTTAGGATCCACCCTACTGTGATATGACCTCATTCTCATCATCACGGACGAGAATGCAGAAAGAGCAGCACCAATGTTGACACCTCAAGAATTTTGACATATCAAAAGAAAAACCCTGTTTCCAAGCAGGATCACATCCATAGGTGCAGGGGTTAGGATTTCAGCACATTTTGGGGGAACGCAATTCAATCCATTACAGTCCTTAACTGCCTTAACCGAAAGTGAGCGTACTGCATCTCCTCTCCTCACCCTGGACCTATGCAGAGCCCTTTCTGGTTGCGTCAGGTGGTAGGGACCTTGTGTTCATCTTCTGCCTCTGTCTATTCTCTTCTCCATGGCTTTTCTCTGTCATAGAGTCACTTTTGATCACTGGTCCTCCAATCAATCTTGCTCATATTCTCTCTTTCTCTGGTGCCTCTGGGTGATCGTTGAGGTGCCAACATTGGTGCTTCTCTTTCTGCATTCTCACCTGTGATGATGTTCCTTACTCTCGTGGCTTCAACTATCATCTCCTTGCAGGTGGAAACATTCCAAATCTCCAACCAGATTCTCCCTTCCCAAGAAGCAGCCCTGCATTGCTGACTGCCCACTAGACTGTAGATACATGGACTGAAGATTGAAAGCAGATTAACCCCCTGAAACCTCCTAATTCTCTTTCCATTTTTCTTACTTTTGTTAACGATACTTCCATCTTCTAAGTAATTTGGGCTCAAAATCTAAGGATCATCTTGATCCCCCCATCTTTCTCCCTCATGCCTAACATCCAGTAGGTTGCCATGTTGTGTAGACTCTTCCTGCACAAGGTCTGCCTGCTGCATCTGTCATCCTTTCTACTCCCACTAACAATGTAGATGGTGTAGTGGTTACAAGCAAGGACTTTAGGGTCAGGATCCAGGTTCAGGTTCTGGCTCTACCATTTATGAGCTGGGTGAACACAGCTCTGTTACTCAACCTCTTTATGCTCGAGTTTCCTTCTCTGCAAATGAGAATACTAGTAATACCTTCCTCCCATGCAGCCCTGGTGGCACAGTGGTTCAGAGCTATGGCTGCTAACCAAAAGGCTGGCAGTTCAAATCCACCAGCTGCTCTTTGGAAACTCTACGGGGCAGTTCTACTCTATCCTATAGGGTTGCTATGAGTTGGAATCGACTTCGATGGTAGTGAGTTTGGTTTTGGTTCCAGGGTTGTTGTGGGAATCAACTGGAATTTATCTTTTTTTTTTTTTTAATTTTAAAATATGGCAGAGCCCTGGTGGCACAGTGGTTAAGTGTTTGGCTGCTAACAAAAAGGGCAACAGTTCGAATCCACCAGCTGCTCCTTGGAAACCTTATGCAGCAGTTCTGCTCTGTCCTATAGGGTCACTATGAGTTGGAATCCACTTGACAGCAATGGGTATAATGGGTATTGTAAAATATAACACATAAACACACATACTTTAGATAGATAGAAAGACAGGAAGAAAGAAAGAAAGGACATACAGAATATATGTATCATATAACAAATAATTATATGGCAAATAACGTGTGCCTTCTACATTTGTTTGCCAACTGTAGATGAAGAAGAAGAATATCACCAGACTGAAAAGCCCCTACGTGTCCTTCCCGATCATAATCTTTTTTCCGCTCTGTAGATAACTACTCTACCAACTTTTAGGCTAATCATTTCCTTGCTTTTCCACATACGTATATGTCCTAAAAATATAGCTTAGTTTTACCTGTTTTTGAACTTTATATAAAGAAGGTTATATAGTATGTTTTCTTTTGACTTGCTTCTTTTCTTACATGTAGGAGATTCATTGGTGCCTCAGTCCTGTGGGATGTAGCTGTAATTCATCCATTTTTACTGCAGAATTGTATTCCACTGAATAACCAGGCCACAATTCATCCATTCTGCTATAGATGTGTGATCATTTGACTTGTTCCCAGCGTGAGGCTATTAACAAATCACACTGCTATGAAAATTCCTGCATGTGTATCATGGTACTCATGTAGAAGCATTCCTCTGTGATATATCTCTAGGAGTAGAATTGCCAGATAAGGGTCCATCTTTAACTTTTCATATAATGTCAAACTGTTCTTTAAGGTGGATTGGACCAGTTTATACTCCCCACCCAGGAGCGGTGTATCAGAGAATCAAATGAGATGAGTTTAGTAAAGCAAGTGTAAAGCATGACACTTAGTAAGTTCTACAAAAAGATAATTATTTTCATTATGACTGTCTTGGCTCCAGCCATTATTAAATTCTAATTGGATGATTACATGAGTTTTCTAAATGGCTTCCTTGCCTCACGAATTTTCTATGGTCCAATCTATTCTACTTAATGTGGTCGAGTTGTCTTCCCCAAGGAAGTCTGTAATTCTGCCACCTCCTGCCCTGACATCCAGTGCCACTTCCTCACCTCTGGAATGAAGTAGAAACTCCTTGCTTGGCATTCAAGGCTTTCCCTGATCTAGCTTTTCACACTCATTTCCTAGTAGTCTCTTTTACCTGCTGTGCAGGACAGAGAGCCAGATCAGGGACAGACGTGGGTCTTCCATAGGCCAGAAATTAAGAGATCCATATTCTCATGAAGGAGGTGGCTTGGAGGAGGCCAGTGCAGGATTGTGCCCTGCCCAGGAGAGGGAGGACCTCTCTAGGCCAGTGAGAAAATGGTTGTTTTCCACCCGGGGAGCAGGGCAGAGCCTTCCAGCGCTATATGTATATGTAGTGGCACTTGTTCCCCTCTCTCCCATCCCCCATGGCTCTCCAGCAGAAATTCAGCTCAGTCTATGCCAGAAGAAGTGACTGAGTCCACCCCAAAGAGGGGAAGCTGATTGTAGAA